TCGGATGACTGAATTAGTAATAAAAAGATGGTCTGGCTGCATAGAAAAACAACAACACTCTTACGTTTGTGCAATCTCCATACTTCAAACGAAGCTACCTAAATCTTAATGCATCCGTATAGCAGTTCACCGTGAGCGTTATCGCAATAAATCAAATAAAAGTTTCCAATCATTGTGACGTCATGAACATAGTGACGTCATAAATTAAACGCGATTTCTTACAGATTGGAATATTATTTTTGCTCTAAACTTGGACAATACTTGACGGGTAAGTGCCGAGATGCCATAAACGTGCTATGTTCTACTTGTTTTGGATCAGAGTTTCTAAAGACTCACTGATATTGACACATTGATTCAACACTATAACCCACGACCGTAATACTCATTTTACTATATTACGTATTGAATCTGTCATCAGGGCCGTGATGAACCATATACTCAAATGAACAGAGTCGTAAGATACTTGAAGGAAATCCCGGGCACAGGATAAGCTTCAGCATGTACGGGATTTTCTCTGAGTTAATTTGCACTCGTTTTGTCAGAGTGACTTGATAATCATCCCGTGATCCCTAGCAAAGGCTACAATTCCAAGTAACAACACTTCTCTTTCACGACAGAACCGTTTCTATTTTTGATTAGCACTTAACTGGCTCCGGACAGTAAGAGGTATTAAATGTCCGAATTAATTCTCCTAACTTGTTTGTTCAGGCATCAGGCTAACCATTACATTGACCAGCACACTGACCAAGGGCCTGTCACAACTGGACGAACAAGTCTTTCGGCAACTTCTGCTTCCTTATAAGGGATGAAGTCGGCTTACTAATGCGTGTTTGTTTAATCCTTATACTGAAAGGACCCTTAATGCTGTGGTGTTATTGTCGTTGGAATGGTAGACAGGAATACTACAGGATAACGTCACACGTACTATATATATATATATATATATATATATATATATTATCAAAACGTGTCGATCAAATTTAGCTATCTATTCGTGAATTTGCAATTGGAAAAGTCGCAGAAAAATATCTATAATATCAACTAGGCGAAATTGGTACAGACTGTTATTTGCTTTATTGCTTCAGTTATTTACAACCGTAATAAATAAATGAAATATTCAAACTTAAAATGTTTTTTTAATCTTTATTTTTATTTTCCCCGTATTCGTCATCAATACGTTGATATACATTACTGAGCATCACCTGTTTCATGCATTCATGCATCGGCTAAGAATTAAGAAGCTTATATCGGTAAACGATCAGAAACGAATTGCTAATCGCATTAAATGCTTAAGTTCCAAATAAGCAAGCCTCTCCAACCATCACCGTATAACACGGGATTACCATCCCTGACCAGTGGTGGAGGTCAAGATGCTTACTGACCAGCTCTTATTGTGGATACGAGGGGTCAGTTCTAATCCTCCATACCCTACTTTTGTTCGGCGGATATAAATGGATGTATTAGAGAAATTAATCTGAAAATCAACCTTCGACAGCCAATTTGTGTCGATGGCGATTTATTAAAGGATAAAAAGGACCCGGATTATCACAGTTATACATGAAGTTGTTCCCTAAATCACAGAATACCGACCGTAAACCGTAGTACCGACAATGTGATACCGATTTGTATTGGACAGGGTATATATAAAATGGTTGTTACATAATCACCAAGGACCATTATACGTACACTCATAACAACACGATTGCTTTGTACTGTAACAGGCAAACATTCCGATTATAGCGTGCTCTGATCACAAAACAATAAATGTAAACAGATATTTCCATCTCCAAAAAGGCGATATCGCTATTCACTTTTCTTTACATGTAATAAATAATAAATTAGTCTGCCATAAAAACAAAGACATTGTTCACTTAATCGTTTGCGGCATTGATTGTTAGGGCTGTATTTCCATTAACCTGCAATAACACAGCGATTTAAGCACAGTCGAGACATGGATTTTATTGTCTTTTGTCACGAGCGCCAGCCGCTGCAGCACCAGTAATTTCCCGCCACAAAACGGCAGTGCGCGGTACTCCTACACCGGAAACAGTCGACATCTGTTGCAGTCAGGTTGTTGTGTGTATGTAATGCGGTCTTGTGCACGCTATGGCAACACGAAACAAGTGACCCACTGCCACACAGAGCGATAAGGATGGCGAGGACAAAGCTGGGCTTGACGGGATGTTGGTGAACTTCTGATAAAGATAAGCCATACTTTTCGGTCACCACGAAGTCAAAAGCGAAGGAACAGTTCGGCTGGGGCTGAGAATTTTACCATGTGATGCTCGGCGTGCTGGAGACAGTCATGATTGAGATCCGCCTTATCTCCTCCTGTCTTATCTCCCAGTGACCTTGTTATGATGACAAGGTCACTTATAAAGGTTTCTTCCCATTTATTTTTTTTCATAACTGCAAATCAAGACATGATGCCATGCCCCCAAACAGACATTTATCTAATAATTTTACACGAAATATTTTTGCTGCAAATTTTTGAGAGGGATTTGAATTCGCAAACGACTCGCCAATACATAAACCATGGGAATTAAAGCGATCTACAATCAAAGGATTTTTTGTGACTTCGTCCCCCTTCCGTTCCCTCTAAATCAACCCACTGGTTCATAACAAACAGGTTTGTGAAGTGATGATGCTGAATGTCACGTGACTTCTCAAACAAAAATGGACGGTGGGTGGTTGATGGAGGATAAAGGATGCAATGAGGCACGTTATACCACAGGTGTGTAGCCTTTAAAGTCGGGCTCCACAGCCGCAGATTGTATTTCTGAATAGCTAATGGTAAGATGCCTACAGTCTTCATCCTCATCACTTTATTGTACCGCATCTGATCACTCGGGTGAGACGGTCGTCAATGCTTCTCCTCGGCGTTCCATTACACTAGTTCATACCCTGGTCGATGTATTGAATTGGCGACTGTGGTTGTCACCGGGAAAGGAGTGCAGTGACGTATATAAACCCTCCCAGGTACTCCAGGCCCCGAATCTAATCAGACTCTCATGTTTGCACTGTACACTTCATCTGTCAGCCCCATAAAACCTGGCTAGGACCTGACAAATACCCTAATCAAACATCCGGGGTAGTGATGCTGCTCCACTGCCTAGCAACCGCTTATTATCTGGGGGTAATTTTGGGCCCTAGCCTAGCACGAGCTCCTATCTCGGTGGTAAGCACAGCCGAACACCTGCAGCATCTGAGAGGAGAGTGTCGGCATGCTGGGCGAATTTTATCGCAGGTATGATGACACAGGTATGATGGGGCAAGGACACACAGGTGAATTTGACGATAACGGCTTCAGCGGGAAGCCAGGGGACAAAGGCCGGCCTTTGTGGTGTATACGGACGGAGCCTTTGGTCCCAGCATCATCTAGTCGTGAATATTTCATGGCGCGTCGCGATGGACGGCGTCTGTCATACCGGAGATGTTAGGTAGAGCTGGCTTAACATAATGGTGAATAAAAAATCTTAGATAGTCATCCTGTTTCCCCGAATATAATCGCTGGCTAGGATGAGGATGAAGAGTGTCCAATTTACACTGTATGTGTGAACGCCATTTAAATGGTCGCGTGTACCATCTGGTACATGTAGGATAAAATTACATGTTTTACAATTTGAGAGTCTGACTAAAAAAACAAACTCTGCGGTAAATGTATGAAAAGATAGTAAATCTCATTTCATGTAAACAGTACCGAAAATAAACGCGGAACGTATTTGTCATAAAGCAAACAGCCCACGTAGTGTATGTGTGTGTATATAGCACACAATAAATAGGTAGGTAACATACAATACATAGGTAGGTAATATAAAGTACCATATATAAAGTTGGCAGGTGAAGTTGTAGATAAGTGATGGAGATACGTCTGCTGTACCTGAGCGCAGGTCACCTGCTGAACAGGTAAACCGTCAGGTATTATACTACAGGTATGTCAAGCTGGTCTGATTGCTTGTCACAATGAGTCCTAATCAGGGTGTCTACCCGGGCACACTAATCACCGGCTTTTCACACATTCTGGCTAATTAATGGTGACATGCCATTTACCTGTAGCCTTCCTCCTATCAAAACATTGAACTCGTTTGGACAACGCTAGATAAGGGGGAGGGGGTAGTGAACAGTTTAACTCAAGCTCCAAGTAAAAAAAACACAACATTATTTACATTCTATATATCAACACACATATATCACCTATTTATAATTGTAAGCAGACAATTCTTATGTAAAATATGTATAATTGCTAGAGATACTTTATGAAAGGTGCATCTCTATTAATTTTTTTACCGACTTGCAACTGAACAGGTGAGTTTGTTTTCAGCGACATCGCCATGGATGATGCTTCGTGGGAGTAGGTAAGTTTGTACCTGCCGATATCATCACCAGGTGATGAGGATAACATGAGTCACACGGTCACGCACCAGAAAGTGTTGAGCGGGAGAATAGGTACAAGTGATGTCGTGGAACGGACCGGAGAAGCATGGTGCTCGAGAAACAGGTACACAAGTATGTACACTTCATCCGTCTTCACCACAAACGTAGACCAGCTACCCATACACGACACCGTGACAGAAACAGCAGCGAACAATAAACATATCCCATATTTCAAAATACCCCCTCACATCATCATCCCGTTTGTAGGTGTGTTAGCACACCTGTACATTACATCTACCTGTAACTATAATACAAACGGCCCCTTCATCCCCGAATACAAGATTCAGCGATTGAGGTCACCGTGATAAGTGTTATACACAATAATAGCCAATTTTATTTAACATTCCTTTATATCCATTTCAGCTTCCCTATAGCTTAGGTATCACAGCCGACAGGTAAACACACCTGAATCGTTATTTACATGTACCTGGCTGGGATCCATAAGTACGTACTATCGAACCAGGTAAAAACTTCAACAAAAGTTATATACGGCAGATGACATGACATAACAAAGCTGAACTAACTTTCATTTTACTCGAATAAGTAATTAGAAATAGTCGCCTTACCTTTCAGAGGCCTGGGGTTGGCCTGCTTTCTCCGGGACATGATGCGACACTATGGACCGCTGTTATCCGCTCGGATGTGAAAATGACCAAGATGATTCTTGGGGCATGCGTGCTGCCTCACTATCGGGGCACACGAAGGGGCCGACTCAGGTACGCCAACTAACACAATACCTGTTGAACAGGCTATGAATAATTAGCCAATGAGGCTGAAAAGAATAAGTACAGGTAACCATGTACGTACCTGTTGGAGAGGGATTACCTGTGATTAGTCCTATACAGGTAAAAAAAAATGTCACAAACAACGGTAAATGTAAGAAGATGTTTGATAGTCTATACGGGTTGTGCAACGGGTAGAAATATATTGATCTCAAACACAGGTACATACAAACGACAAAGTGGGTCCTAGCTCCCGCTGTAGCCCAACACCTAACGATTTACCTGTGGGCTGGGGCGCAGATTATTAATAACTATACTCTCGGGCCGCTAAAATCTCCCCGTATTTACCTACCCCCTTATAGTCAATACTTTGAGATGACTGACACTAAGATTCCCCGTTGATGGTGTGTGCATTTTATCCTTTGAGAAATACCAAATATCAATATTCAATTTTATTTTATAGCCCATTAAAATCATAATATCCGTGGTTTACTACATTATTTAAACGGATGATGATGTTTAAAGATTCTAAAAAGGGGACCTGCATTTATATTTAAACTAATCACATTTAAAAATATTTACATACTAAATGAAATAAATATTATAAATGGACCAATAATGCGATTTAGTTAAAAATTAGATAAATGATAGTGTAAAGGCACATGCTAAATAAAGCTAATACATTGCTATCGGACCACAAATTGAAGCATAAATTACCGGTGACTTTTGCATTTTTTAAATCTCTGACTTTGGTAGCCAAGAAAGCATTTTGAGCAGAATGACGCATTTTTTATTCGTATCAACACCGTTTATAGAGAGGATAGGAATATCACCCCGTATAAATCAATACTTATCTTAATTGACTGTGAGGCAATTGTAACAGAAATTAAATCCATTACGTAAGATCACAAATGATTATTTCAGATACCCATGTTTTTATACCAAACAATATTCGACCAATTTGTCTAACTATTTACAAACTCATGTTTGTTGATAAGTTTATGTCATGCAGATCCTGACACTACTCAGATGTCACTTTAATTGGTTTTAATTAATGCCTTTTAATTATAATTAGCACCCCCGTGTCGACCCCCGCGCGTCATGCCTCGCAGCCTCAGATCTCGAACTAAAACTTGTCTCATCCTGCTCCACGGCTGAGTAGAATTCGGTTTCTCTTCACACTCTCAATGTCCATTGACAATAGTGGACTAATAATACCTGGTACCACAGGTATAGTCTTTTAAGTCTACCTCTATACATAAAGCATACCTGTATGTCTTACTGCATACCTATTGTCACCTGAAACAATGCCCGTCTCGTGTGACGTATGTCCTGTATCGGGAACCCTTATTTCACCATCGTACAAACCCCCGAGTTCAATTAAAAATTAATGTTATGACATCAAGTTTGGAGCTATTTATATTATTGATATATATCTTACACGTACTTCAAATATAGTACCATCTATATGACCGCCGACAGATCTGGGAGTGGTGTGATGCCAGGATCGAGTACTAGTAATTGTACAGAGCCATTGTTCGCCTCTAGTTTACTTAACACACATAACAAACAGCCGCCCTGAAAGCATTTTATACATCCCTGTAACTGTTCATCAATGTTGAAGAAGTTTAAATTAGGATGTTAAAAAGCTGAGTATTGATTCCGTCGAGGACGGGTATATATATGTGTGTGTATATATACGTGTTATTGGCAAACGTGACATGCCGATAACGGTCTGGGATGTTTAATTTATGGTGAGGATGTATTTGAAAATGTTTATGTACATTTAGATTCAAGTCGTGCTGGGACACGAGAGGTAAAGGTACCCGGGTTTATATAAGGAAGAAGTCCCTCTGCGTGTATCCAGAGTACAACTGGTTCTATCACCGCCGAATTGGGATGCCATTCAAATTCCGGGTATACAGAGAGGTTTGAAAGCATATCGCTATTTAAATAACGGATAATATAGCTAAAACCGTATTGTATGGACTGAATAAAAGTAATTGCCCAATTTTCCTCGTATCAAGTGGAAAGTCTTCAACCGCTCTCGTTCCCCCAAGGACGATAAACAAAGCCTACATTCACCCACAAACGTCACTATTACGGACAAAAATACCGTTAGGTGACATATCGGTCTTTGATGGAAAGCTGAACCGTCCCTGGGGGAAGAATTCGTCCTCAGTAGACGATCTACCCGTTAGAAAGATACCCGATCGAGATAGCGAAACAGTCGTCTTTACGCCTCGGTAGATGCTTACAGTAAAGAGCTAAGGTCCAATTAAAGTCATGTTCTCTTTGTACGTGGCTAGGGATGATAGATATGTTTATATCTGCTTCAATATCTGGTGTCAATGAGCCTGCGAACCTAACCGGTACCGTGACGTGTTCTACATGACAGACCGGAGTCGAAGATGAGTTGTCGCCTCATAAGACACGGAGATAAATAAATCTTCATCTCGTCATCGAACTTTTGATTAATTTTTCTTTGAATATATCAAAAGATAAGAGTTGATGACGTATACACGATGAGTGTTTCAGCCTTTTCTGTATATTGATTGGACAAGCTGCTTCTATTCAGTGGCGGTTTTCAATTTGGACAGCTTCAAAAAAAATTTGAACTGAGGTAGTGAAAGCAAATTAATTATTCAATACTTATAATTGCATGTAAAATCACATAAAAACGTTAATGAACCATAAAACCAATCACGATACCGTTGATGCGTTCGACCAAGAGTGCTAATGAACACACTTTCTGAAGATACCAAGAATAACATGTCATCAAAATGTACATTTCTTTGAAAGGGTGTCTTCCTGATTCAGCTAGAAATGATTGACTGCGTGAAAATGTATATGCGACCACTGACAGACAATTGTATGGACCCAGCTAAAGGACACGTATTTAAGTTTTATATGTCCATGCTTCTCTACAGCAGACATCGCAGTCATCTTTAACGCCTAAGTACCAGACAATCTGGGATCGGAATACGTTGGAACTTGGAAACGACTCTGACGATTTTTACACAGACATAATAAAAACATATCACAGTAATAATTATGAGATGGCAAAACAAGCAAATTCTCATCCTAATATGCGAATGAAAATTCAACTCCCACCTAACTTTAAGAACTGTCTATAAGCTCCTCCCCTGTCTATAACCTCCTCCCCTGTCTATAACCTTTCCTGTCTGTAACCTTCTCCCCTGTCTATACCCTCCTCCCCTGTCGATACCCTCCTCCCCTGTC